CGCTCAGTGTCTGCAACCCCCCTCTGCCAATCCCTGCACTGGCTTCCATCCCCCGCCCCCCTCTGTCAATCCCTGCACTGGCTTCCAATAGCCCAAAGGATAAAATTCAAAATATTAACAACTTACAAAGCCATCCACAACTCTGCCCCCGGCTATATCTCCAACCTTGTCTCAAAGTATCACCCTAACCGTCCCCATCGCTCTTCAAATGACCTCCTGCTTTCCAGCTCCCTCGTCAACTCCTCCCATGCTCACCTCCAGGACTTCACTAGAGTCTCTCACCTCCTCTGGAACTCTTTACCCCAACCTGCCATTAGGCGATCCCTTTAGACTCATCTCTTCAGGGAAGCCGATCCCACCTAAACCTAACCGCTCAGACAATTCATCCCCACACAGCTACCTCCTCGTGTATCACTTGCCCCTCCCTTTTAGATTGTAAGCCCGCAGGGGCAGGGCCCTCCTCACCATCTTGAATTGTATTGTGATTGTCATGTCTTCCTTATATTGTAAAGTGCTGCGCACACTGTTGGCGCTATATAAATCCTGTATAATAATAATAACTACATTGTATCATTGTACTTGGAATGGCCACATTTGTACGGACGGACTCGCAGACATTGTATGTTTTCAGCATAAACTCTGTTTATTGTTAAAATATTCAATTCCTATAAAATTTAACAAAAATAACTTTGTAATATCAATACAGAATAAACCAATAAATAAAATAAAGGCTTATAAAAAACAAACAATCTCCTGTGCTGTATTGAGGGAAAGGGGAGTGAAGAACAATCTCCTTGTGGAGCCTGTAGGGGATCTTATCACTTCACACCGCCCATGCAGAGTAGATGTTCACTATATAGAGCGGAGGCTCCCACCTACCAGTAAGATGTTATTTCCTCTTTTGATATGTATTTCCCGAGTGTGGGGTAATGTTTGTGTTCCCCTAATGACAGATCAGTAATTAAAAGGGTTCTCACACTAAACTACAACACAGAGCAACTTCTAAAAAGTCTGAGTCCTCCATCGTACTGAAACTGGGAGGAGTCATTTCACTCTCAGCGCCCCCTGCGGGTACAATCTGGAATGGCACCTCACCCATACAGGTATACAGGCTCTCTATGAGCAGTGTTATATCTGGAAGATCTTCCTCAGCAGGACAAGGACACAGCTCTGACTAATAGGAAGACTGTGAGGAATGTGGAAGAACTGGACCTCCATTACTACAGCAGTATCTGGATTAAAGAGGAGCCCCCTTTTAATTTTTTGTCCATACAGGTAACGGAAACTTGAATGTGGTTTATTCCTTTAAACATTACAGCAACAAAGTATTTCTCTGTCTTGAAAAGTAAAAGAACAATGACATGTAAACAGTGCAAACAGTTATTATTCCCCAAAATAGTAAACTCAGGACATCTAACTTTGGTTCGGCTCACAGATAGAGGAGCGCAGTACAAAGGCACAATGCTGGTTAGGCAAAAAAGAAGCAACGAGATTCCAGTAACATTCCGGAATCCATCAGGAAAAGCCTTCCTCCATCTTGGTTCCTCCGGAGGTCTCCCCTTACAGGCCGAACACTTTGGGGTTCACGGAGGATTTCAGCAGCTCATTCCCGGCTCTGACAAACTCACCCAGAGAGGAACCTGAGGACACAATAAATGTCACTTTGATCTATTCCCGGGCGCCGTGTACCGAGTGATGAATTCACAATCTGATTGTTTAGCATTAGTGGATGTTGACCCCCCATAGACCAGCACCGGTTCCACAATCCAGCTATGAGGCAATGGACTCTGCATACTAGAGTTGTTTATAATACAATCAAAGCTTACTTCAACAAATAATTATGTAGTGAGCGCTGCCTTCCATCTGCCCATCACATCCAACAACATCCGGGATTTCCAGTGTGTTTGATAGAAGGAAGCTTATTCACAGCAAAGACCAACATCTCACTCAACGTTCATCCCTCTAGGAATTCTGGTCTCTAATATGAAGGTCCAATAAACTTCCTTTCCACTCAAGAGAGTATCATACATGATACTTGTGTACGGCACTCCATAGGGAGCCATTTGTTCTGAATGTGTGGCTACTCTTAGCAATGCATTGTTAGTGAGTTTGGTGTCATGACTGCACTATTAAAAATGAGTGCTCCCGGCCTGCGTGGTGATTGAAGGAACAGAATCCATTCAGTAGAGAGGAAAACACTTACAGTATTATTAACTAACCCCAGCACAATGTTCAAAGTGATGTCATTGTAGAAGCCAATCAGACTTTGCTGAATTGGGGTGATATCAGTAGAAGATGGATCCTGATTGGTCAGTGGGGGTACTCCAGTTTGTGCTCAGCCCTTTGTCATAGAACTTACCTGCTCTGGCCCTGACCCAGGAGAAGGCCTTCCCCTCCAGCAACTCCCACTCCTCTCTCTGATCCAGATTGGTGGCGTGAAGCCAGATTACCGCCAGAACCGTCACCCACACCGACACCTCCACGTTCTGTAGAGGAGGGAAGGACGAGTTTATTATACAGGACCACAGGGACAGATCCAAGTTGAGAGGACACAACCAACAAGACAACACGTCTTCCACCTCCGGATAGTCTCACAAATCTGTAACTAAGATATTCTTGAGTGACCTAAAAAGTAATGACCACTTTTCATAAGAAGACAGCAATACTGACCAGTTATAAAAAGCCCCTCTTAGTGTACAATCCCCATTACCCCCGTGGTCCGGTGTGGTCATTGACATGATACCTGGTTGGGGTTCCTGGCCTTTATGTTGGTCTCATATATTCCCAGGACAGCAGAGAATTCGGGAGTCAGGTTCCAGGATCCATCCGCGTTCTGCAAGGAGATTAGTCTCAAGAGAGCAGAGGTCCCCACTGAGGAAGTGGGGGGTGATGGTGATAGTGAGCCACCTAATAAATTACAATCATTAAATGAACAAATGTAAAAGATACGATGACAAATACATTTAATAAAACTGTTGCGGTGGATCTCATACGTCACACTGTGTACACTTCACATGAATCACGTGGTCTTCCTGAAAGAAACAGTGTCTGAGAGAGAGACTCTTACAGCCCGAACCACATCCAGACAATGGAGAGGAATTTCTTGTTGGTGAACCCGGACAGAGGGACAATGTCCCAGTTAAGGTAAAAAGCAGAAACTACCTTAGGCGCGAAGAAAGTCGTTAAAGTGACATTAAACCCTCAGATTTTTTAACATAAAACAATACTGTAATGTGCGCCTTACTGTAATCCATGGTTGTTTCCCTTCTCTTTGCTGCTCTTCCTTTTAAATCCTCATGTCTTCTCATGCTGGGGGAGAACTTCTGTCTTGCAGCAGACTGCCTTGTCTCTGGAATGGATACACGGTGTCTGTGTATAGGTTTGTATAGGCTTGTAACCTGAGCCAGCACTACAGGAAGAGGCACTCAGCTGAAAAGGGAAGTTCTCCCCAAGCATGAGAAGACATGAGGATTTAAAAGGAAGAGCAGCAAAGAGAAGGGAAACTACCATGGATTACAGTAAGGCGCACATTACAGTATTGGTTTATGTAAAAAAATCTGAGGGTTTAATGTCACTTTAAGCCATCTTGTCCTAATGCAAACCCAAAAAGACTTCCTTGCAGGATAAGGCTGCCAGTTCAGAACCATTGCCTTGCAAAGGTGATGGATACAAGGAAAACTACCTTGAGGGTAGAGAAGCGAATGTCTTTAATGGGTTCAAGAAGTGGTTTCTGGACCACAGAAAGAACCAGATTCAGATCCCATGGGGAAGTAGCAGCGGATTCTGCATGGGAGTTCACTTTAAGCCTGATGAAGGGGACCCTGTGCGGCCCCGAAAGCGCTTGATGCCACTTTGAGTGACTTCTAAGAATAAAAACGAAGATTCACTAAAACTTTGACGTATCCTGTTATATTTGGAGTGCTGGTGACATCTCTTCACAACAAAACATAAAAAAGAAACACCGGGCGCCTTTCCTGGTGCAAATAATCCTTTTATTATCTTAGAAAGATTAGAAGTGATAAATGGTAGTCACAAAAGAGGTGGACAAAAAGCGTGTTGGACATAAACCTCAGGATACATGCAGATTCCTAGCAGGCAGAGAAAACAATCCAATTATGCTGCTAGACCAGCAGAAACAAGCTGACTCAGCTGAATGTGTTTTCGGGGAGTTTCCCCTTCCTCAGAGCTGGCCAGCTCCCCGAAACTCTGTGGCACTGTGGTTCCTCCTGCTGGCAGCTGGGTCAGTACTGTGTAACCGCAGACCTAGGGTGGCGTAGCAGTTGGCAAGTGAGACCACAGTGTACAGGGAAGGAAGGGGCGGATGCATCTGACACAACCACTGTAGCTCTGCAACCAAGGCACAAGTATGGGGACAGGTAGCTGTTATTTTTTTTCACCAGACTCGCTGTACACATAACATTGTGATTTCGTTATAACAAACGTGACTTCTGTTACCTGCCACACGTCTGGACTTTTTGGAATAACAAAACTCCTCCTCCGACGACGTCTCCTCCTCCTCATCAGATGATGCTAAATGTAAAAAGAGAAACAAGTGAGGATTAGCAACCTCCACCTCTGAGTGAACTACAGGATAGCGCAGTGATGTAGGGATGAAAGGAAGGGACCGCAGTGGCGGCAGGGGACACGGGTATCCCACACACCAGGAAGTAGGGCTGCAACAACTTATCGACATAATCGATTATTGAAAAAGTTGTCAACTTTTTCAATAATCGATTAATCGGCTTCCGATTGGTTGGCCCTGTTCACGGCTCCACACACGCTGCACGCCACAAGGATAATATTATCAATAATTACAGGAGATGAAATACACAAAACAAGTTAATTTCACCTGTAATCCTAACAGAAGACCGATGATGGTGTTAATAGTACGGGGACAGGGGCTCTTTAATACTAGGGACAGAATGTAGTAGAGATGCACCGATACCGATATCGGTGCTGATACCGAGTATTTGGTACTCGTACTCGCCCGAATGCTCCCGATGCCTATCCCTGCTCCAGGACTTCCGGTATCAGGAAGATGTGCAGCAAGTCATTACACGCCTCCCAGCTTTTCGAGTGGCTGGGACGCCGGTTCCATGCTCCCTCGTCACCAGGTGACGAGGGAGCATGGAGCTGGCTTTCTTGCCAATCAGGAAGCCGGGCGGCATATAATGACTTGCTGCCCAGCTTCCTGATTGGTCAGGAAGCGGGCCAATCAGGAAGCCAGGTCACAAGTCATTATCCGCCCCCTGGCTTCCTGATTGGCAAGAAAGCCAGCTCCATGCTCCCTCGTCACCAGGTGACGAGGGAGCATGGAGCCGGCTTCCCGGCCAATCAGAAAGCTGGACGCTGTGTAATGACTCATCGCCCAGCTAACTGATTGGTGGAGAAGCCGGCCAATCAGGAAGCTAGGCAGCGAGCCATTACCCAGCTTCCTGATTGGCCAGAAAGCCAGCTCCATGCTTCCTCGTCACCAGGTGCTACTGCTGTGACCCTGGTAGTTCTGTCACTAAATACAAGCTGTAGAGGAACTACAAATCTTAGCTATACATGATATAGAAATGCAGAACAATATGAAGCTACATGCTCTGTGTTGCTCACCAGGGCTGTGTGAGGTCTCAGGAGACTGTACGGGGTCTGACCAGGGCTATGCAAGGTCTCAGGAGGCTGTATTGGGGTCTCAGGAGGATGTGCGGGGTCTCACAAGGGCTGTGCGGAGTCTCAGGAGGCGGTGCGTGGTCTCACCAGAGCTGTGCCGGGTCTCAGAAGGGATGTGCTGGTCTCATTATGGCTGTGTGGTCTCACCATGGCTGTGTGGTCTCACCAGAGCGGCGTACGTGTCACCCCAGGGCTGCGTGCGGGTCTCACCAGGGCTGTACGGTCTTACCATGGGCGTGTGGGTTTCACCAGGGCTGCGTGTGGGTTTCACCAGGACTTTGGGGTCTCACCATGGCTGTGCAATCTCATCAGGGCTGTGTGGACGGGTTTGGGTTGCCGGGTTTCACCATGGCTGTGCAAGCAGCGGAAAGGAGATGTTCCTCCTCCAAAGCTGTTGTTCCAGGCCAACTCTTCACCTCACCCACCTCCATACCGTTCCTTTACTTACTTGCCAAGAAACTTCTCCCCAACGACTCTGCTGTCAAATTTATTCTCCTATCCCATATACAGTAGATCTCATATCAGCATGGCTGGCACTCAAACTCCATGAAAATATGTGTTGAGGAAGATCTTCTCACACTGCCGCCAACTCCCTTCACACTTCTGATTAGTGCTGCCTCCTCCAGACAGATACATGGAAGTCTAGGTCATGTAACATGTAGAGAGCCACAAGGTAAGTCCAGGACCTAAGACATCCATGTGTCTGGATGGCTGGGTGCAGCAATAATCAAAGGTGTGAATGAAGCCAAGGACAAGGTTAGCACGTGTTCATTATAATTTACTTAGTTGCCAGCTGTGCTGATCTGAGGTCTGCATGGGGGAGAGAGGAGGCATCAGACTCGCTGCTCCTTACCTTATCATCCCTGGCAATTATCACTCCACCATTATAAACACCCAATTCCCTCCATTAGTGCAGACCATCCAGAATAACAAAAATACATTTTGTTTTCCTGTAAGAAACAGTGTCTGAGAGAGAGACTCTTACAGCCTGAACCACATCCAGACAATGGAGAGGAATTTGTTGTTGGTGAACCCAGACAGAGGGACAGAAGAACAATGTCCCAGTTAAGGTGAAAAGCAGAAACTACCTTAGGCGTGAAGAAAGTCCTTAAGCCATCTTGTCCTAATGCAAACCCAGAAAGACTTCCTTGCAGGATAAGGCTGCCAGTTCAGAACCATTGCCTTGCAAAGGTGATGGATACAAGGAAAACTACCTTGAGGGTAGAGAAGCGAATGTCTTTAATGGGTTCAAGAAGTGGTTTCTGGACCACAGAAAGAACCAGATTGAGATCCCATGGATTTACAGGGGAAGTAGCAGCGGATTCTGCATGGGAGACGCTCTGTATAATGGTCTTTATCAAAGACTGAGAGGCCAACGGTCTCTGGAACAGAATAGAAATTGCATAGGTTTGGCCTGTGACAGTGCTGAGAGTCAAACAGTGGTCCAGACGTAGCTGTATGAAGGAGAGGATTCATCCCATGGAGCAGTTCCTATGGTGGAAGCCCCGAGACTCACACCAAGGAAAGGATGCGTTATAAGTCTGATGATAGACCTTACAGGAAGTAGCCTCCAGCATCGTACAAATCACAGATTCAGAGATGACCATGTGTCTCATAGCCTGGGTTTCAACAGCCACGCCATAAATAGAAGCAACTGTGAAGCAGGAAGGTAAATTGGTCCCTGAAACAAAAGATCATATAGATCTGGAAAAACCCAAGAGTGTCTGCTAGAAGTCTTATCAGGTCAGCGTACAACATCTATAATTCAACAAAAAGCAAAACCAGCGCCAGATAGGAACCTCCTTCAGCCACAAATTGAATCTCTTGTTCCAGCCAGGCCGCCCCGTTACAGATGAGGGATTACACTGTGTGAAACATAAAAAAGAAAAAATGTCCAAGGACCTGTAGCACACCTTACCGGACTTCCCATAAGAAGAAATGGGTGCACGCAGTGACTACGGATGGCGCCGCATCAAGTAAGAGTCTTATCAGGTCAGCGTACAACATCTATCTGGGCCGGTCTGAAGTAATGGAGATCACTGGAATGTCCTCCATTTTAATTCTTGTGAAACAAACAAGGAATAATAAAGACAAAAAACAGAGCACACTGGGTAGTGCAGCTAAAACCTCTTTTAATAAAAAAAATAAGAAAATTAAAATTGCACTTACAATAAAGGGCCGTGATCAAACTCATGCACAGGAACCCCAGGACTCACCAAGAAATGTGGAAACTCTCACCCTGAGCAATATGCAAATTGCCCAAAGCTCCAGGATGGTGATCAGAAAATGACGCTCCTCCTCCGAATAAGTCCACCACACCGTCAAAGTGCCCAGGACTGCTTCCCAGCCCAACAACTTGACATCCATCATAAGGATCTTCCAAATTTGGGCGAAGGAAGGACTTTCCCGATTTCAAAGTTGGATTCCTGAGCTACCAATCCAAGGAAAACCTGCTTCTTGGTTGCCAAGTGAACTGGACTGTTTGGGGGCTTGATTGACTTATCCCACGAAGAGAGAATACTGTGTTGTAGAGGTCTGGCATGAAATTGAGCATATGGAATTGCTTCAAAAGGTGGCTACCATCAGACCTAGGACTTTCATGCAAAAGCAGAGAGTCTAATGTTTTTCCGGTGGAAGAGAAACGTGTAGAAGCCCCACAGCAAAGCAAAGGGGCTGATGAGAATGATAGATGGGGACCTGCAGAAATGTGTCCTTGATGTCCACAGAATCCACAAAGTTTACCTGGTGAAGGGAGTTGATGGCAGACTTTGTGGATTTCATGCAGAATGTCTGGGCATAATTGAAGGCATTCAGGGCTTTGAAATCTAAGATGAGGTTGAAACCCCTTTTAGGTTTGGGAACGGTGAACAGCTTGGGGTAAAAGTCTTGAAACCATTCTGTCACAAGTACTGGCGCACTGAAACCTTGGTCAAGAAAACCCAAGAGGGCTCGATGGAGTTCTGCTAATCTGTACAGTGACACGGGAGGTTGGAGGTGATAAACCGAGGGGGGGGCATGGAGATACCTCCAGCTTGTATACCAGGGATACCACCTCCTGCACCCAAGCATCTGTACCAGGGATACCACCCCCTGCACCCAAGCATCTATACCAGGGATACCACCTCCTGCACCCAAGCATCTATACCGGGGATACCACCTCCTGCACCCAAGCATCTATACCAGGGATACCACCCACCTGCACCCAAGCATCTATACCAGGGATACCACCTCCTGCACCCAAGCATCTATACCAGGGATACCACCTCCTGCACCCAAGCATCTATACCAGGGATACCACCTCCTGCACCCAAGCATCTATACCAGGGATACCACCTCCTGCACCCAAGCATCTATACCAGGGATACCACCTCCTGCACCCAAGCATCTATACCAGGGATACCACCTCCTGCACCCAAGCATCTATACCAGGGATACCCCCTCCTGCCCCCAAGCATCTATACCAGGGATACCACCTCCTGCACCCAAGCATCTATACCAGGGATACCACCTCCTGCACCCAAGCCATCTATACCAGGGATACCACCTCCTGCACCCAGCATCTATACCAGGGATACCACCCCCTGCACCCAAGCATCCATACCAGGGATACCACCTCCTGCACCCAAGCATCTGAGTTGCAATCTGTCCAATCATTCGCAAGGGTTGACAAGCTTCCACCTACTCAGGAAAAAAGGATGTGCACCTTCATGCCATTGAAGGCTTGCCGGAGGATCTGGTAGCCTTTAAATCTTGTGAATGGACCTGGACCCGAGCTAGAGGGAGGGGTCTCAACATGGAGGGCATGGGGGTGGAGAAATAAAAGGGAACTTTCCTAAATGATAAAGAGAGAGAAGACTTTGCAGTCTGTTGCTTAGTCTTCTTCCACTAAGGAAGTTGATCTGAAGAGACGTTGTCCCTCGAAAGCCATGCAGACAAAAAGCTAAAGCCTAAAGTATCCTACACATGTGTACAGACATGAGTCCCATGAAAGAGATGAGCCTGAAAGCCTCCAGCAGACTGTTACAACTCAAATTTAAAGTGACAGCCATTTCCTTTTTGCACTCTATAATCAAGGTGTACACTGCTAAATTTATAAGCTTGCCATGGGCTAGAAAAGTGCTCTGTGGGTACCTTCTACCAAAATGGGGTTGCTAGGATACTAGCAAAAAAATGGAGTAATGCTGGTAGCGGAAGAGGTCATCCTGGGCTGGCCTAGTTTTTCACTTTGCCAGTGTCCAATCCTCCTGTAGATAGCACTATAACCCAAAAGGTTAAAGATCCCCTGTGTCCCTCAATAGACAAGACAGAAAACATAGAGAAAAGTATACAGTGAGACATAATTCCAAACATGCTGGAAAACAGATTTAGGGTTTACATATACACTGAGTGGCCAGATTATTATGGCCACCTGACGTTTGTAGGCAAATTAGCTATAATTTGGCTCTGAAGTTGCTAGAGGGCCAGACCATTATAAATAGGGAAGTAGGTTGTTTACCACGACAGTAGAAGTGATTTGTTTCTGAAGATACGGGGAAACAACGCGATGTAACAGCCTTTGAACGCGGGATGATTGTTGGCGCTCGGAGCCATGGAGCGAGTATCAGCAAAACAGCAGAATTCGTTACATGTTCAAGAGCAGCTCATTGTTAAAGTGTTTAAAGACCGGACTGTCAGCCGAAAATCTGGGTCTGAACGTGCGAATTGTGGCCGTCAGCGACTAGTCAATGTTAGGGCAGAACGGGGGAGGGGCAAGACTGGTACAAGACAACAGAAGGGCGACAGTGCATCAAATGACTGCAGATCTTAATCGGGGATCCTCTCAAATGATCTCTGAACGCACTGTTCGCCGTACACTGCACCGTATGGGATATGGAAGACGAAGGCCGGTTCCAACACCTTTGCTGTCTGCAGCTAACAAGATAAAACGTCTCCAATTCGCACAGGAACACAAGGATTGGACAGTCGAGCATTGGAAGGAAGTCATGTGGTCCGATGAATCAGGTTTCCAGTTGCATCATGCAGATGGCAGAGTGAGAATTTGGCGGGAACAGAATGAAAGCATGCGCCCCACATGCATGAGTACAACCCTTCAAGCTGGTGGGGGCAGTGTTATGGTTTGGGGCATGTTTTCCTGGCATGATTTGGGCCCTTTAATTCGTGTGGAACAACATCTGAATAGCACAACATACCAAAGTATCGTTGCTGATCAAGTTCATCCTATCATGTTGATGGCGTATCCCAATGGAGATGGCTTCTTCCAACAAGACAATGCACCATGCCGCGGTGCTCGTATTGTGCCGGAGCGGTTTCAAGAACATGAGGGAGACTTTACCTTGCTTAGGTGGCCCCCACAATCCCCAGATCTCAATCCAATTGCAGCATTTGTGGGACGAAGTTGAAAGAGCCAATCAGGCAGCTGATCCACAACCATCAAATCTCACAGAACTGGACAGCACTATTCATCAGGCATGGCGTCAGATTCCTCGCATCACCTTTCACCATCTTGTGGAGTCAATGCCAAGAAGAATCGCCGCAGTATTGAAGGCAAAAGGTGGACCAACGAAGTACTGATGGGGTGGTCATAATAATCTGGCCACTCAATGTATATTCAGCATCCAGCGCTTTCAGCTGTGTTGGATGTCTCTTTCACCTGCTGGCAGCTGGGTCAGTACTGTGTACCCGCAGACCTAGGGTGGCGTAGCAGTTGGCAAGTGAGACCACAGTGTACAGGGAAGGAAGGGGCGGATGCATCTGACACAACCACTGTAGCTCTGCAACCAAGGCACAAGTATGGGGACAGGTAGCTGTTATTTTTTTTCACCAGACTCGCTGTACACATAACATTGTGATTTCGTTATAACAAACGTGACTTCTGTTACCTGCCACACGTCTGGACTTTTTGGAATAACAAAACTCCTCCTCCGACGACGTCTCCTCCTCCTCATCAGATGATGCTAAATGTAAAAAGAGAAACAAGTGAGGATTAGCAACCTCCACCTCTGAGTGAACTACAGGATATAGTAGTGATGTAGGGATGAAAGGAAGGGAGCGCAGTGGTGGCAGGGGACACGGGTATCCCACACACCAGGAAGTGAAGAATGCTGAAGATTCTGATGGAGGCTGCAGCAAAATAAGATCATGCATCACTGCACCAAAAAGTCTTCCTCCTGACAAACCTGCACCCAATTATATCTTCTGCCACATGTGCTCCTAAATGGAGACTCATAGGTTAGAGTTAGGACCGCACTATAAGAGGTGCCTTGGCGTGGCTGTGCGGCTTTCACATTTTCTGCAGAAGACGTGTATCCAAACCTCTGCTTTTAACCTTAGTGTGAGCCAAGTTTTTTTTACATGCCGGCTGGTGAGGGTGCCAGGAAAACTTTTTGCTATTTTGCAGCAAAATAAGAGACACCAGCTGCTGGAAAGGTGATAAGAGGAAGAATGCGTCTTCTTTTACCGGGGACTTTCAGGTCAGTTGAACTGTATCTCAGTGCGCATCCCTGAAGGTAGGTAAAGCAAGATTTTATAGTGTGTTTTTAGATTTTTCCATGCTTGCCGTTCTATATTTCCATCTCTGGATTTCACATACAGATAAGTAGGTTCTGTCTCTAGCGTTTATGTGTCTAACAGGCAGCCTAGCCTGCATCTCTGTGGAACAGCTGCTGAGATTACAGGATAAACCACACAGAAAATTGGATAATATAACCAATAATTACAGGAGATGAAATACACAAAACCAGTTCATTTGACCTGTAATCCTAACAGAAGACCGATGATGGTGTTAATAGTACGGGGACAGGGGCTCTTTAATACTAGTGACAAAATGTAGTAAGGATGCACCGGATCTCCCTGAAGACACGGAAGCCGGCGGAGAGGTGAGTACCGATCAAAAAAAGTTTAATCGATGAAAAAAATGAATGATTAATGGAGGAATTAATCGTTAATTTTCGCAGCCCTAGTAATCTGCATTGCTCCCGGTCCCATAGTGCGGAGAGGAGATTGGTGAACGAATGTTCACCGATCTCCTCCCCAGCTTCCCACCAACCGAAAGCCGGCGCCTAGTTTAAACGGGCCCAGTGCCAGTACGTCGCTGTTCGTGGACGGGTTAAAGTCAAGCAGAGAAAAGGACGATCGCGTTAGATACCAGTTCAGGAAGTGATGTAGTGAGGAATCTTAATTGAAGGTAAAGGAAAAAAAAATCTGAGAACCGGAGGTATAAAAACTAGTGGTGAAGAAAAGATGTCCTTCCTCCTGGGTCAAGGGCATTCTGGGCAGGGGAGGGGTCTGGTCAGCCACCTAGTCCGGCTCATACATTTTCTGTTTGCTAGTCTACAGTCCTCCTGTAGGTGGCAGCATAACCAGACAGTATCTGAATTCCTGTGTCTCTTAGTGAATGAGAAAGATTTTTTGTTTGTCTTGGGTTTTCTGACAGATCAGCAAAAGCAACAACCAGAAGGTAACTATGGGCACTTACATGACTGGGATTGACTTCTCAAACGTGCCATGGGACCACCACCAGCAGCCATGGGATCACCACCAGCCATGGGATCATCACCAGACATGGGACCACCTCCACGCAACCTTCTATGCATTAAATTGGGTGAGCCCATCATCATGAATGCTGTGAGACAAGAGAGATGGTGAGTGATAAGATCCATTATACACCCTCTACAGAACACTGGGGGTGTCTCACCAGGGCATGTCACTGCTATTATCAGGGCTGGAAGAATTTAAAGTGTATATAAACCCAAAAACAATAATGTCACATATTGCAGCTCGCCAGTTCTTAGATGTGGTGGACGCATTCAGTTTCATTTTTTCCATTTAATTTTTTCTCCTTTATTGTAACCTAATAATCCTGACAAATAAAACACTTCTTGCCCCCGCGTGGCTACACTCTATTTCTCCTCTGTGGGATATCATTGTTGTCACCTAGGCTGGACTCGGACAAACATGTCTGTCTTTGTTTATGTCCATTACATGCAGGGCCGGATTAAGAGCATCATAAGCCTGGTGCTAAGGATTTCGATGGGCCTTTTTATGGAAATGTCAACAGTCACCAGGGTCCTCTTCCTCCTGTCGAGGTTGCTTGGAGTCAGTGGTGGAGCGCCAGGGGTCGGCAGCAGCTGTGAGCCAGGCAGATGTGCCACTGACTCCACGTTGTAGAGAGACTCCAAATCCCTGCAATAAATTATATAGCAATGCAGAATAATACCACCGACTATAGAGGACTACAAATCCCAGCAATAAATTACACAGCAATGCTGAATACCGCCAACTATAGAGGACTACAAATCCCAGCAATAAATTACACAGCAATGCAGATTACCGCCAACTATAGAGGACTACAAATCCCAGCAATAAATTACACAGCAATGCAGATTACCGCCAACTATAGAGGACTACAAATCCCAGCAATAAATTGTTAAGCACTGGAGAATAATCCCATCAGCTATAGAGGACTACAAATCCCAGCAATACATTATACAGCAATGCAGAATACTATGAAGAAACATACTCTGTGTTGCTCCGCCGGTTCACAGCCTGATGTCTCCAGGGCCTCAGGAGGGCTGTGCAGGGCTTCAGGGCGAACTGTGCAGGCTATCAGACGGCCAGTGCAGGCTCTCTGGTGGTCAGTACCGGCTCTCTGGTGGTCAGTGCGGGCTCTTGGTAGTCAGTGAGGGCTCCATGTGGCCAGTGCGGGCTCCAGGCGGCCAGTGCAGGCTCTCACCTGGTATGCAGAGTGACACTGGTGGGTGAGGCTCTCAATTCAGGCGGCTGCTTGCTCCTCACTAGGGCCTCTAATATGCCTGAATAGAGGACCGCCACTGCCTGATTGCGGCCAGTCACCGGCCCGGATTCCGAGACGATCCGGGCCTATTG